TCTACTATTCCTTCTAGTTTGTAGATATTTGACAATATCCATAGTAAATAGTTTTAAAGAGAAAAGAGGAAGGGAGAAACTCCAGAGGCCAGAACTGGAGCCTCACTCACACCTGAATTTCCCACATGCAGACAGACAAATTAACACCAATGCTCTTAGGCTGAACCCAGGGTCAAAGCTAAGAGTTCAGGTTCAGAACTATTATAATGCCTGAAATAGCTGCTTGGCTTGTTTATATGGCCCAGGGGCTGGCACACTGTAGGCCTTCAGGAAGTGTTTCTTGAATGAGCAAACATTTGAACATCGAAGGAACACTATATATGCTCCTAACGTCCGAAATACATCATACAACCCAAAATTTGGCAGGCCTTTGTGGAAGGTGGTGCTCCCTACCATCAGTATCTGCTCCCACAGTCGATGCTAAGGAGTCAGAGGCTTCCTCCCCTGGGCTAAGCCTCTTTTTCAAAACAAGGGTCTGGGTTCCCAAAAGATTTGTACCCTTGTCCCCCACCCAGGGCTTCTTTTGGTCCCTCTGTCCGGCCCAACAATTTCTGCCTTGACATGCTGGTCTCTCTGCCTGAAATGCTCTTCCCCCCAGCTCTCTGCATGGCTGGCTCCTTCTCATTGTTCACATCTCAGCTCAAATATCCTTATCTCAGCAGGGCCTTAAGCCACCACACTCTCTAAATAAAGTTCCCTTGTGATTCTCTATCACTTCTCTACTGTCACTTTCATGGGTATTGTCTTCAATATGTAATTATATATTTACTTTACTTTAAAATATCATTAACAGGGGTACTTAGCTGGCTCAGTCAGAAGAGCATGTGACTCTTGATCTCAGGGTCATGAGTTCGAGCCTCATGCAGCATGTAGAGATTACTTAAATAAATAAAACTTTTTAAAAAATAAAATAATAACAGCAGCTAACACACTGACTCAGCACTTACCATGTGCCAAGTTCATGCTAAGGGCTTTATATGAATTATCTTGTTTAACCTTCATAACCAGGCCATGAAGTAGGTGCCGTTATTAATACCATTTTACACATGATAAAACTCTGGATAGAGATGTTACATGGCCACAGAGCCATGAAGTAGTAAAACTACATTTGTAACTTCTATGCAATACTGATCTCTTAATATCTTCCCCCTGCCCCCACTGACCTCCATCCCCAGACTATGAAGGTCAGGAGAATATCATGCCACAAAATATCTCAGCCCCTATCACAGTACCTGGCATAAAATATGTGCTTCGTAAGTATATGCTGAACAAATGAAAACATTCAAAGTAATACTGTATGATTTCTCTTTGTGTATCTCTGACCCACCTCCTCTTCCCCAAAATTCCCAGCACAAGACTCAGCTCCCAGAAGGTTCTATACATATCTAGAAACACTCAGAGTTAAAAAGTGCTTTTGAGACCAACCAACTCTGCTCCCTAAGTTCACCAAAAAGATAGGACCTCTCCGGGTTCGTTCCCCTACCTCTGAGTACAGACTATCAAGCAAGATGGACAATGGAGACCATATGAGCTTCAGAGGTCCTAAGAGACTGAGTTCTAGCAGAAGAGATCAGTAGCAGAGGCCCTGATGGAGTGGAATCCAGGGAGGAAGGCTAGGGTATGGTGGAGGGTATGCACTTACCCTCTGCCCAATGCCCTGTGCCTTCTGGGAACTGTCCAACACCTGATGCAGATTCTTTGGAAACCTCGTCACTTCAGGACACACCTACTGATCTCACTAAGGACCAAAAGCTTTGTTAGTCTCCCCTCTCCTCTCTTCTTTCCCCTGGAGATAGGAAGGCAAAAACACCCAGCAACAAAGTCCGCTGGTATCAACTTCAGAAGAAGAGAAGAACTTTATGCAGAGGATAATGGGGTTTCTGGTCACTCCTGCTTCTGGTTATCCCCAGCCCCTGAAAGTTTTGAGCATCTCCAACACACAGGATCTCAAGAATCCCAAATTCAATGTTGAGAAACTTCTAAGTAAGAGCACAGACAACCACAGGAAATGTAACTAGGTGTAGAGGACAACATTCTAGGCTAGCATGACCACAAAGAGGCTCTAACATGGGGTGCTACTGGGGCTGGGCCTTGAAGAGTGGGAATCACTGGGTTTCATGGAGATGAGAAGGACACAGAGGGAATGGCAGGTGCAATGTAGTGGAAACAAGAGCTAGCATTTATCTAGCACATATTCTGTGCTTGTTGCTGGGCTTCATATTCACATGTAAAAGCTTGTTCACATGTAAAAGCTTATGAAATAGTTGATGATAATATACCAGATGAAGAATCTAAGGCCCAGAGGTGTTAAATAACTTGTCTAAGGTAATCCAGTAATTACCAGGGCTGGAATTCAAACTCAAATTTGTCCATCCCTGGGGTCCATCACAGCATACGCACCAAGAGTCTCAGGGTGGAATGGCTTGTGTGAGGGAGAGGAGTATGTATGGAAGAGCAACGGAATCCTTGAATGAGACCCTAAAGATCTAGATGGTATGCCACAAGGCAGGCCATGTGCTGAGCAGTGCTGCAGGAAGAATGCCCTAACACATTTATGGAGGATAATGGTGGAAGGGGCTGTTGGGAAGATGGGAACCCAATGCCCCCAGAAGCTCTACACAAAGAGGAAGGACAGGCAACAGCATGAGTGAGGAAAGCCTAGAAAAGAACAAGTTTGCCAAATGCCAGTTGGTAATCAATGGTGTTCACCTTCGGATTTAAGCAAAGAATGATCTCCTTCCAGTCCCAGCCAGTCCACAAAACTCACATTGAATGCCAACTGTATGTCAGGCCCTGCCCCTGGCAGCCTCCCTCATTTCTCCTCCTTTTCCCAGGGAGGAAAATCAGGTGGCTGGCAAGCCCCTACAACCCAGCACCCTGAAATGCTCTCCTCTCTGTCCCACCACCACTCACAAAAGGGAGAGGAACAGCTTTTCTTGTATATTTACGTTAAAATCACAAAGTCCACAATTATTGTATTTTAATTTCAATAAGTTTTAAAATTTAAAGATATTTATTTTCACTTTGCTGGTCTAGTTTGCAAGATAAACAATAGCTGATTTTTAAAAATTGAATTGTCTTTTAACCTCAATAAGTTTTTGATGAGAAAAGTGTCTCGGGATGATAAATCACCTTCCCCCTCCAGCTATCAACCATGGGGCCAGCAGTACCTCTGCTCAAGGCTATCTCTTGAGGATCAGGAATGAGAACTTACATCCCAGCCACAATGCCCTTCACTATCACCTGGGAAAGTGGGGACGCAGGGACACTTCTAAATCAGTGAATCTGATGCAGCTGTGCCTTGGGGAATCAAAACCAGTTGAGAGTGGAAGAAAGGGGAACTCATCTTTCCATCATTCTTGTGCTTTTTAAAATTTTTGTTCCAAGAGCAACCTTCTTGCTGAGGAGGTGGGATTTATTAGCCCAATACAAGTATAGGAACTTGGAGGGTCACCTCTTGCTCTCTGAATCACTGACTTCAGAAGACTCTGCACAGCCAGTGGTTCGGGGATGGGAGGAAACTCTCACTAGGTTGGCTCAGCGATTCCCCAGAAAGGCTCACCCCGCCGACCAGGACTAAGACACAGTGATCCAAAATGCCTCGATGTATGTCAGGCGGGAAGTGGAGGCCTTTTCCGCTTAGGTTTCCTAAACGTTGCCACGGGGCAGTTCTCTGGCCACGTCAGAGTAAAGAGGTTTGGATGGACACCTCTCGCATCGACCAACCACTCTCGAGAGACCCTCTTTTCCAAACTACACGGCAGGCATAAGGGGGAAGAGGCTGCCCCAAACGGAGGCTAACCACTGTTTTTCCTTTTTAAAGACTTGGTTGCGTTTGGGCCCGCGCGGAGCCGCAGGTCGAGGCAGATTCCCTTCTGGGGCCCCCGCCATCGGCCCTTGGATTCCCAGCGAGACCACTTAGGCCCTTCGAGAACCCCCGCCTCCGGCTTCCCCGCCCAGATCTTGGAACCCTGAGGCCTGGGCTAGTCTCCTTGCCGGCCTTTCAAGGCCCAGCCGTCCGGCCCCGCGGCTCACCCTCGAGCGTCTCGCACTGCACCAGGTTGAGGTAGTCCGCCTGGCTGAGCACCCCGGCCTTCAAGCCGCGCACCAGTCCCTCCAAGTAGCCATTGTCCACGTTGAAGTAAAGCTCCGGGAAGAACGACATGGCTGCGGCGCGGGCGGCGAGACCGGAGAACCCCGATCGGCCGGCAGACAGCACGATTCCAAGATCAGCTGACGCAGCGCCAGCAGCGGACTGTCAAGCAGGTCAGGTGATGAGCGAACGTATCACGTGACCACAATGGGGCGGAGCCCTAGTGGCGCCCGACTTCCGGGTGGTTTCATACCAAAGCATTGCGCAAGTGTGGGCCCTCTGGCGCCTGCGCGGCTAGGGTTGGCTTGCCTCTCGCGTCGGGGCTTGACCTGCTTGGAGTGTCGGAGGCCGGCCGCGTGGTGGCGCACGTGGCCGCGAGGATTCGAGTGGGCCCTCTAGCTTTCCAGGGTCTGGTAGACCTGGCACTAAGGGGCAGGAGGAGTTAAGATGGGAGTGAGCGGTGGTTCTTATGCTTGGAAATATTACAGACTGTTGAGTCAGTCTTATCCCGAAAGGAACTACGGTTGGCGGCGGGGGGAGAAGGCAGGCTTCGCTGGGGTCGCACGTCCAGTTAGCTGCAAGCCGACCCTAGAGCCTAATGCTTACTGGCCAGCCTGGAGTTACAGCACTATGTGCACCGCGCGCTGCACCCGCATTTATTGTACAAGATTATGGAAGGCTGGAGCCCGGCCCTTCTCTGGTTCCCCAGCTGTGCCTGGCACCATGAAAGCATGCATGTAAGTGATTCAGATGATGGTAACCTAGACCCTGCGGTAGGTGTGTGTGTGTGGTTTCTTGGCTGGCGGCAACCCCACCCCTGCTGTGACTTCCATGACCTCCCTCCTCCGACGGCCACGTTCGAAATAACGCCACAGCCTTGGGGTTGGTCCCAACCTTTATTCGCTACCCCTGTCCAGCCTCGACCCCGCGTCGGCCCACTAGGTACGGCTGCAGGGGATCGTGGCAGTACCCAGCTTGCGGCAATAGCAGAAGGCGTTGAAGAAACGGCAGTAGCATGTGGCACATGGGTCGCAACACGATACCTGGTGTCCCAGACAGGACTCCTGCAGCCTTACACAGCGTCGCGGGGAGCGTGGCTCGCGGCCCTCCGGATCTAGTACCTACAGGAGTTGGGGAGCAGGAATGTAGGCATGGGCCTCCAAAGGCAGGTGCAGGGATCTCACCTACCCCAGTCCAGGCTGGATGGCAGTGGAGCATGGAGAGAATGGTCTGCAGTATCACCTCAGGTGAGGGTGTCATGAGGTGGAGAGTGGGGATGATTGTTTGCCTGATGTCCCCTCTCAAGGTCTGTGGCCTCACCCCTTTCCCTGAGCAATTACCTCTGTCAAGGCCTCAGCCTCCTGTAGCAGAGCTTCTATGGACTGTTCTGCGCTTGTCCGTTTCAGTGGAGGCTGCTGGCCCAGGCCTGGAACAGATGATGTGAGGCCAGAGCCCTGCCCGCCTCCCCGCACACCACCCCCCTCCATGCACAAAACACCCACCTCCCAGGTCTGGGATGGGAAAGGGGGAAGGAGGGCTCATACCAAGCAGGATAATTTGTGGCCAGAGCTCCACCCCTGCCCATACTGACCTGGCAGCTCTGGGAACAGGGCCTGGTCAGGCCTTCTGATGCCTTCCAGAGGGGCCAAGCCCCTCTGAGCTTCCTGCATAGGGGGAAGTGTCAGCAGCAGGGCCCAGCTCAGCAGCACTGCAGTCAGCATGACCTGACCATCAGGAAGACCCACCACTTAGTCCTTCCTCATCCTTGATGCACCCTCCAGGTGCCCTACCCCAGAGAGAGACCTCCCAAAGAGCAGGAGTCTCTGCCCAACCGGAGGACTTACCTCTGCTTGCTGGATCCTTGCCTGGAGAGTTTCTGGCCACCCTGAGCCCACAGCTTATATGTCAGGGTCTAATGAAGGCCCCACACGTGACTGCTGCCTTCAACCAGGGCATGAAGGTGGGGGCATAGCTCAGGCCTCTCTCCCTACACCTGGGTTTTTGGGTGCTCTGTAAGAGGGGTGCCCAGCTCTAATTTTTGGTGAGGTCCCCAGGTGCTAATCAAAGTTTGGGAACAAGAGAGGGTGCCCAGAACCCCCAAATTTCTGCAGGACAGGGACCTGGGTAGGGATGGGGAGGTTGGACAGGCTGGAGCCATTAGCAATAACAAGGCAGGCAGCCCTGAGAACTTAATTTAATTTGTGGCCCCGGAGATGCTCACTCAGACCCTGTGTGGCATGTTGTTTCCTTTGCTTCCAGGAATTTTGGTCAAGGGCATTGAAGAGGGTGATGGGCCAGTGGCCAGAGTGGGGTGCAGACCTAAACCCTGGGGGGGTTTTTGGAGGGAAAAAGGAGGGGAGAAGTCCACTTAGCCAAAACCAGGCCCTCCTGCCTCCATTCCTGGTCCTCCCCCCCCACCCCCGTGTCCCTCCAAGCTTCTCCAAGACCCCCACCCTTGCTTCTTCTCCCAAACCCTTTTCCGCCTGGGGTTCCTGGAAGCCAAGGAGGCAGAACGGACTGTTCCCTGGGTGGGCGAGCAGCTTCAAAGTAAAAAGCTTTCAGGCCGCCTGTCTCATTAGTGCTAATGGCTGTTCCTTTCCGCCCTGCTTTGTCAGGCCTGTGCCCACGCCTGGTCTCATCAGCATGAGGCCAGGGTGAGGACTGCCCTTTTGTGAAGATGGTAGAACACAAAGGACCCCACCTGCCTCTGCTTTCCCTCTCCCCTCTGGAGGCCTCTAACATACACTTGCCCATCAGGGAAAGGGGTACAGGCTGAATCATCTTTAAGGCCTCACTGTACAAACAGCTGGTCTGGGCCAGTAGGAGGATGAAGAGGCTGTTGGGGTTTGCCATCTGGGTTCACGCAGGCTATTCTGCCCAGGATGAAGCCTGAGGAAGTCCTCCCAACAGCGGATGTAAACCATATATTATCAGCTGACAGCCTTAGCCTTCGGCACCAACAATCACTCTTGGGGTTTGGTTGCATGGGGAGGCACCCCTCTGCAGATGGTGGGGCTGTGGCAGCTCCTTTCACAGATGGGCACTGATGTCTATTCTGGGATCGGGCTGGCACTGGGCTCACTTGTGGTTGACACAAGGTAACAGTCCTAGGAGCTCGGAGAGTCACATACTACTGCCCAGAGGGAGGAGGCTAGGAAGTGAGGGAAAGCCTCAATGAAGAGCTGGTCCCTGGATAATCCAGCAAAGGGCCAACCCCGTTTCTCCCCATGACAATGCTACTGGCTATTTTGGTGACTCTGTCATAAAGTTGACCTGGTGTCAAGGCCTCCCTGGCAACGGACATTGACCTTTATTTCCCAGAGGCTACAGCTGGGCACAGTCGTCTACCCCAGGGCTTTCTCTTCTCAGAGTGGTATCAGGCACCAAGATCAGGCCCCCATCTTGGTGGGACCACTTGGAGCTCAAGAAGGGCAATGCATGAAACATACCTGAAGCACATTCCCCAAACCTTGTCCCCTGGCCCCATCCTTGGAGATTGTGGCTGAAGAGCTGGTGGTGGGGAACAGGGACTGCATGTGGATTTTGGAAAGGTGCCCTAGATGAGTTGAGGTAAGGGCTGTGAGCACTTGCCTGAGCCTGATCAGCATCCATGCTGAGAATAGTTCTTCCTGTTCCAGGGGGCAACAGGGGGAGGTTGGTCACCCCTCAGTGTCTTTGCTCATCTATAGAGCAATGACTGTCTTCACCTGGATGTGTGCAGGTGAAGACATGGACAGTGATGGACAAGGACTAAAGCAATCCTAAGGGCATCCCAGGTCTCTAGTCAGGTCCAATGGGGGAGACAGTTGAGAAAAACAACCATCAAAACACAGTAGAATGATGAGAGAATTATAAACATTGGACATTGGATGATGTTAAGGAATAATTGTTAATTTTTTTAGTTGTGATAATGGTATTGTGGTTACAATACCATTTTTTAAAGTACTATTATCTTTTAGAGAAACATAATGAAGTATTTACTGATAAAATGTTATGAAATCATCGAAGGTGGGGGAAATAGCAAGATACAATATAGATGAAACCAAATTTTTCACAAGTTGATAATTTGTTGAAATTGGATGATGAGTACATGGGCTTCGCTAACCTATTACTGTTACCCTTGTGTATTAATTAAGAATAGGAAAAAATTAAGAATAGGAAATTAAGAATAGGAAAAAGGGGGGGGGCACCTGGGTGGCTCAGTTAAACATCCCACTTTGGCTCAGGTCATGATCTCACAGTTCGTGGGTTTGAGCCCCACGTCAGGCTCTGTGCTGGCAGCTCAGAGCCTGGAGCCTGTTTCAGATTCTGTATCTCCCTCTCTCTCTACCCCTCCCCTGCTCATGCTCTGTCTCTCTCTGTCTCAAAAATAAATAAACGTTTTTTAAAAAAATTTTTTTTAATTTTTTTTTTTTTTTTAATTAAAAAAGGGGCACCTGGGTGGCTCAGTCAGTTAAGTGTCTTACTTTGGCTCAGGTCATGATCTCACAGTTCATGTGAATTCGAACCCCTCTGTGCTGACAGCTCAGAGCCTGGAGCCTGCTTTGGATTCTTTCTGCATCTCCCTCTCTCTCGGCCCCTCCCCTGCTCTCATTCTGTCTTTGTCTCTGTCTCTCTCAAAAATAAATAAACATTAAAAAAATTTTTTTTAATTAAAAACAAAGGGAATTATTTAAAACCCAGTGGGATAAATTTGTTGATAGAAGAATGCCCCAGGGGCATGTGGGACCAGGAAAGGTACCTACCCCAGCTGAGGGAGGGGCAGGAAGTTGGCTAGGGAGGGCTTTCTGGGACAGGAAACTTTACTCATTCATGAAGCTTGAGTAAGAATCAAGGAAGGAGCCAGGCAAGGGACAATATAAGTTTCCTGGACCCATAACTGGCACATGGTTTACCAAGCTGCCTAGTTCTACAGCTTAACACTGGTACAGGCTTTGCTCCAAGACTGACTCTGGCCTGATGAACCCCAGACTGATAAGCAGTCAGTAGACTCTCCCCTGGGGTCAGGGAGCCAGCTGAATCCCAGAGTTGATTCAATCAGTGAGTGAGTCAGCAGCCATCTATAGCCACCTCTACATTGTACTACTACTGTGAGTGCACACAGGCTCAGACCATAGCCACAGGAGCCTAGCAACCCTGTGCCACACAATTGGAATCCAGAGGAGGAGATCAACATTGGTTTATATCTTTCCCACCCTGCCTTCATGCCTTCCAACACTGTCACCTGGCCCCCTCCGACCACCACTGAATTGGCCCAAAACAATTCTGTGGGCTTCTTGTCATAGCTCTTTGTATATATCTATACCTATATCTAAAGTGAAATTTCCATTGTCTTATCAAATTTTATTTGTTTTTGCAAATAACCAATCTTTGGCTTGATTTATCAAATTTTGTTACAACTAAATTTCTGCCTTTCTCCTATTTTCTATTTTCCTTGGCTTTGTCCATCCTTACATTTATCTTTCCTCCTGATGAACACAGTTGCCTACATCAGTAGTCTGTAATATGCCCCTTGGGAGCCCATTTCATTTGTTAATAACTATAAACACTGTGGGTGATTTTATTTGTCAGGAACTGGCCTGATGTTCCCAGAACAATGCTTGTTGACAAAAAGTCCTAGAAATGTTCTAGGTGGTGAATTTGGGAGACCTGGTGGGATGCAAAGCCTGCTTGGTGAGGCTGGGGACCAAACATAGGAGACCTGTCTTCAGGGAGGAGAAAGAGGGGAATGTGGTTGCTATGTGCCAGAGTCCACATTTAAGGACAAGGAGGGGGACTTGAACCCTGCCTTTCCTCTTTTTCCTCCTGTAAGGTAGTCCTCACCTCCAAGGGCACTGTTCCTACTTTTTCCAGCAGGGGGCAGCAGAGCACCCACTGGGTCTCTCAATCCAACTTTTCTGGAAACCAGATCCTGCAGGACTTCCAAAAGGCAGAAGTTGCCTGGAGGCATCTTATCCTGGGAGGGGAATGAGGATGGATGGGGGTTTGTTCAGGCTGGTGTCTTGAGCCCTCAGCTGGAGGGGGTCCCACCATAATCAGGAGCTCCTAGAGGAGAGTCATGTTTGCTGCATGGAATGCTGAATGCCAGCACTTGCCATTCTCCCATTCATTCAAGAACTATTTATTGAGTGCATGCTACATGAAAGGCATATGACAAGGCTTTTAGACTTAAAGGCTAGGTCAGAGGCTGTGGTGAACTGAACCTCCTGATTCTGGGATCAGACAGGCTTTGTGGGCTTTCCTGTTGCCAGTGAAAGCATAGGCTGGAGCCCCGCCAAGGGAGAGGAGAGCAAGGTGCAGGGACAGCTGGTGGACAGACTATAAGGGGACTCAGGCCCAGAGATACCCCTTCCCCTCTGGCCTTGCTCTAACTCTCTGTCCCTCTCCTCCTACAGTCCTCCCCTTCAGTGCTAGAAATGGGCCCTTTATTGGAGTCCTCAGAACAACTGAGCTGTGGCTGGGGTGTTTAGATGAAATTCCACAAAGACCCAGGGGTGCCAAAGACAAATAAGCCCAGCCAGTCTGGTTCATAGAATGTGGCTTACAGTCTGGATGCTTAGGCCCCTCTGGTATGGCAAAGACCACCTTAAACTCCAACCACAGTCCTCTCCTTAAGACATCTACAACCCACAGTGTTCACCCCCAGATGCCTGGAGAGGTAGCCAGTCCTTCCTGCTGCCTGCCAGGTCCTGCTTTTCAGTGTGAAATATTCTGTTTTGGAGGT